GTTTAGTCCAATTCTGCATCCTTTCCTTCAAGGCTCAGGGGTCCAAGATTATCTTCTGTGTCTGTGTTAATTGGTTTCCCTTTTCTTTGTTGAAGAGGATCTGTGCAATCCTTCTGCCTAGTCCGCCATCTTGCCCCACCTCAGATTATTTCATTTCTTACCTCTGGTCTCAATGTTTTAAAAGACACGGATGTTGTTGTTAGGTGCTGTCGAGTCAGCTCCAACTCTTAGCAGCCCTGTGTACAACAGAATGAAACACTGCCCGGTCCTGGGCCAGCCTCAGAATCCTTGCTGTACCAGAGCCTGTTGTTGCAGCCATTGTGTCCATCCATCTCATTGAGGGCCTTCTTCTTTCTCGTTGACCCTCCACCTTACCAAGCATGATATCCTTCTCCGGGGAATGGTCCCTTCTGACAGCATGACCGAACTAGGTGAGATGAAGTCTAGCCATTCTCACTTCCAAGGAGCATTACAGCTGCACTTCTTCCAGGACAGATTTGTTAGTGGAGAAAAATAGTCATTACTCTGAAGATAAATGATATTAAACAAATAGTTGATGTATTAGTTTCCTATTGCTGCTGTAATAAATTACAACAAACTTAGTAGCTTGAAACGACACAAATTTATTTTGTAGTTCTGAAGATCAGAAGTCTGACATAGATTTTACTGGGCTCAACTCAAGGTGTCAGCAAGTCTGCATTCTTTTTGGAGGCTCTAGCAGGGAATCCATTTCCTTGCCTTTTCCAGCTGGGTTGCTCATATTCTTTAGCTCTAGGTCCCCTTCTTCTATCTAAAAAGCCAGCAACGATGGGTTGACGTCTTCTCACATTCATCAATCTGCCTCTCTCTTCCACATTTAAAGACCGTTTTGACTACTTTGTCCCACCTGGGTAATCAGGGAAACTCTCCTTAATTTAAAGTCAGATAATTAAAAACCAAAAACCAAACTCACTGCCATCGAGTTGATTCTGAATCATAGTGACCCATTGAGTTTCTAAGATGGTAAATCTTCACAGAAGTAGATTGCCCAGTCTTGCTTTCATGGAGTGGTTGGTGGGTTTGAACCACCAACCTTCTGGTCAGCAGTTGATACAGTAGATATGTTAGGCACTGTGCTACCAGAGAATTAGTCATCTTAATTCCATCTGCCTGAATTCATCTTTACCAGGTAACCCAATGTATTCACAGGTTCAAGGATATTACAGGGATTGGATTGTGGACACCTGAAGTCAGCTAGAAGCTGTGGAATCTCTCTTTTATTTTTTGCTTTAAGATAGATAGTCACTCCAAGAGCATGAGGCCTTGCATTGAGAGAGAAATAGAATGACGTTTACAGTACAGGTGTAAGGGTCACCTAGCCCAGTCCTTCTTTTATACATGAGGGGACAACACTGAGGCCTAGAGAGGTAAACTGACTGGCCACGATCACAGCTAGTTGGTAGTAGGAACTGGATTAAAACAGTTATTATGACACCATGGTCCAGGAATTACTGGTCATATTGGAAGTCTCTAATGCATATTATATGATTGGACCTATAAGTTTTATTTGTTGCCCTATTTAATAAGTTTTTATGATACATGCCTCATCATAACATCATGTTGTGACATTAGTTAGGTGAGATATCTGCTCTGCCTTCACCCCTTTCATTGTTAGGAATAACAGGGGGAAAATTATCCACAGCATCTTTTGCCAAACCCAGTAGTTTAATCATAATTCTCTAAGTCCTAGATTCTATGATTGATTTAATGCAAATTGTGGTTTTCAGTGCCTAGTAGCCTCTTCTCAGTTCTTGATTGTGACCCTGGATTCATTTGGTTCTCTCCTCACTCCCCAAATTTATATCCCTAATTCCAGAGGCTGTGTCATCGGACCTACTTTCCATTTTAATGTTCCTGCTCTGAATTTTGGTGATGTTTCCTTTGGTGAGTATCTTCTCATTTTACATGTGAAATTACTTTTCTCTCTAGATGGGAGGAGGGAGGCTTGGAAAGAACTTCTCTTACCATTCTTACTGGTAATGCTGTGAAAGTGTGGAATGGCTCTCTCCTTTCTCTGTGGCGGTGGCATTTCGGTGCCATTTGCTAGTTATAAGTGAAAGTTGTAGCTATGTCCTGGGCCGTGTGACTCCTCGTCTTCCAGCAGTGGAACAACAGAGAGACATATGCTTCTCTCTACTCTCCGAACTTTCTCCTCATACGCAGATTATGGTTGGCCACTCTGGCCCCACAGAGATGAAATCAGTGTCTCTGAGCAGAGGATTATTAACTAAGGTCGTTCTCACATTTTACATGAGCTCAGTAGTGGTTTGATTCAGGTGTTCTATCTCTTCAAATGGGAGCTCTGGTAGCATAGTGCCTAAGACACTTGACTGCTAACTAGAAGGCTGGCGGTTCAAACCCACCAGCCACTCCTCGGAAGGAAGGTTGGGCAATCTACTTCCGTAGTGATACTGCCTCGGAAACCCAAGGAGGGGTCGCTATGAGTCGGGGCCGACTCGACGGCACAAAACAACAACAAATCTCTTCAAACTGAAAGCTACATTTTTGCGTTGTCTGCTTACTGTTACTTCCGTGATCCCTGTTTTCCCACCTGAACTTCCCCAATACTGAAAATGACAACAGTAGCAGCAGTAGACACAGAAGCTCCCACTGATTGAATATTTCTTGTGTTCAGTCACTGCTGGATGTATTACAACATTTTTTTTTAGCAATCCTATAAGGTAGGTTTGGTTGGTTGTTTTGGTTTTATAAGGTAGGTAGGATTTCATATTGCATTTTAGAGATGGGAGAACGGGGCCTGGGATAATTCAGTAACTTGCCTCAGGTCACAGAGTCACACCATCTCTTAACAAAATTGTAATTTTTCTTTTGTAGCCTATGATCTTTAGCCACCAGTTTCTTTTAAGAAGTGTCCTGGGGGACTTTCTAGGTCAGGTGAACACACACATATTGAATGACAGTTAACCTCTTGAGAAGGTTCTTTCTGTCTTTTAAATCATTATGTAAGTACTGGGAGAAGTATAAAGGTGCTTGTGTGCACATTATTAATTATTCCAAGAAAAGGCAAATAAATACTGACTATGTTTATCTACTTTGGGAGAAAGATGTGGCAGTGTGCTTCCATAAAGATTACAGCCTTAGAAACCCTGTGGGGCCTTCTCCTCAGCCCACAGGGTCACTGTGAGTTGGAATCAACAGGACAGCAGTGGGTTTGGTTTTGGTTTCGTATCTACTAGATGTTAAAGAAAGCAGTATCGAGGTTTCCTCCTGAAAGGAACTATTTTCAGGTGGAACTGCAGATGGATCGAACAGTGTTAGGATTCAGTGCAACAAGAAACCTAGAGATAGCATTCTTATTAGTGACCCTTCAGTCTTTAGCAAACTAGTACCCTTTCCTTTAGGCTTCTTGACAACATGGGTTTTCCACATGAATTTGAATTTTCCAGACAAGAGGTCATACTTGGCTTTATTTTCTGAAAAACCTCTGGCTCCAGGGAAGTAGTTTGGGCGATAGTTTGGAAGGATTCCATTTTGATAGCATACCTGACATTAGCAGAGTTTAGCCCATAAGCAGTCAATGAAACTAGGGGAGTCTCCAGTGTCAGGAGTCATTGGTGGGTAAGTTCAGAAAAGTCAAATGCGGCAAGTGCATGACTGTGTAAATGACGTTTTTCCAGTTCCTGAAATGGCCAAGAATTGCCCTTCAAGAGCACTTACTCTGACCCTTTCTTTTCCTTAAAAGATCTCTGTAAGTAGGCTAACGCCGCCAGTGCTGACTTGATGCCGACTCACGGAACTCCACATGTGTCAGAGCAGAACTGTGTGCCAAGCTTCTCAGGGCTCGGTATTCCGAGGCACATCTGGGTGGACTTGGACCTCCAGCCTTCCAGTCAGCAGCCAAGCGTGTTAACCGTCTGTGCCACCCAGGGATTCCACCAAGTAGGATGGCAGGCATGACAACACAGAGGAAGCGTGAACACGTTTTCTCAGCTGGCCTCCTGTGTTGACAAAGGCTCAGCCCAGGGAGAAGAGCAGAGGGGTTCAAAATGCCTGCTGAAGTAACGTAGTTAGGACTTTGGGAGACTGATTATGTTTATTGTAGCAGGGTTCGAAGTAAAAAGAGTGGTGCTTACACATAAGAGAAATAGCTCAGGTGGTACTGTGGTTAAGGCATTTGGCTGCTAACCAAAAGGTCGGTGGTTGGACCCACCAGCCACTCTGCAGGAGAAAGATGAGGCAGTCTGCTTCCATAAAGATTTACAGCTTTGGAAATCCTATAGGGGTCGCTATGAGTCAGAATTGACTCGGTGGCAATGGGTGGGGTTTTAGTTTACGGTTATGGATAATTCTTGTTCTTGGAAGTGGTAGTAGATACAGTGCCCACTAGGGAATCCAAAAACAACTGAGTGTCATGCTCACCAGGCAAGGAAGAGCCACAGCTCTTAAGAAAGGAATGTGAGTATAGTGGGGCTGATAAGGGGCAAGGTTGTAGTCACTGCTTGGTCACAGCCAGCTACCCAGAGGGACCGAGTAGTTGAACCTGTGGGCTCGGGACCATAGTCACAGAGGACATGAAGCTCATTTGGCATAACATACTACACAAAACATTGTTCCACCTCCTACTGTGGCGAGTAGCGACTGGGATCTTAAAAAATCCATGGAAATAATTAGTCCTAGTGACTGGTACACCATCCATTCTGCAGCCTATACAACTATGAGACCAGAAGAACTAGATGGTGCCCAGCTACTACTGTCAACCACTTGGAAGAGGATCTATGTAGGAGATCCTGCATAGAGAGAGAGAACAATGTAGAACAAAACTCAAAATTATTTGGAAAAAAAAAAAAAAGGAGGGGGACCAGGTTTGCTGGTCCGATAGAGCCTGGTGGAACCACTGAGACTATGGCCCCTAGCT